TTCATAGAACAGGATTCGAATGCCAGTTCTCTCTCCTATTCTATCCTATCAACCGAGCACACACTCTTTAGTGCTTCGTGCTTCGTACTCTATTCTCTAGTACTTCTTCTACGGGAATCCCCCTTCTTCTACTCCTGCATCGGTAATCTCTTCAGACAAAAGTGCCTATTACCTAATCTGACACGAGAAGGACCAGAAACCAGAAACAACTTTGAAGCATTGATGATTGCACGATTGTACGATTGTACATACATACATACATACGATTGTATTGTACAGCGTACCTTCGTACGCATGGTTCAACTATTGACCCTCGACATGGACGGTTACACCAGTTGCGACAACAGGGCAAGCATCAGCTGGTTTCGCCCTAGGGTCTCATGGGATTGTCCGGGGATGGCCTGTCTGAGCCCTGAAGAAAAATACCCGGGCTTCCGATATTGGCAATCCGCAGGGAACGACAGGCGAAGATCTTATGAGCTACGGTTTTGATAGGTCTTCTATCAGCCGAACTTTCTTACCGGCCAAGGTTGTATGTTTATTACATCCCGTGCATTAAAATTTATGCATTTCCCGGCATAGAAACGATCGTGGTCTAGATATTACTGCGTAGCCGTCATATCGCATCGTCTCGACTTCTACGAAGTAGAAGTCTTACACGATGTTGTGCCAACGTAGTGCGGCCTCGATCTTTTTTTCTTCTCTTTTTTTCATTTTCAAATTCTTCGCAATTCTTTACAATTTCTATGGTATTGACGTTAACGACGTCGTCAAACTAGTTTCCCATCAATTCGAGGCTAGCGGACTAGACCATACATTAGTTAAGTCGCTTATTTCTGCATTTTGATGCTTACTGGTACAGTACCTACTATACATCGTGCTTTTTGGGAGTATTCCCAACAACATCTATTGCATCCTCATGTTTGTTTCTTTCGAAAGAGTCTAGTGCTTAGGATCTTGCTTCCCCGCAACTCGCTTTCCAGCAGGATACTCAAGTTATCGACTCCTATTGGTACACGATGCAATCAAGAAATTTCCTGGGAGTGAATAAGAGAATAAGAGAGGCTCGGCAGTGAGTATGAATTCCGAAATTCTCGGGATCTACCTGAGTCATGCTCCTTGTGACTACTACAGATTGGAGGACCGGTAGTGCGGAAAGAGACAAATTTCTGCAGCATCTAGACTTGCCTAGATCCGGGAACGGTTACGCTGGTTATACCTACATAATTAGTCTCCGATACCGATGAGTGAAGTCATCGCGCATTTCGTATTTGAGGTAAACCACGATTGTGTGTGGTGATCACGGGTTATCCGGGTATCAGTTCCAAGCGGTGGCAAACTCTTTACACATAGTAGCCGAGCGACGGGAAACAAATCCGTTCGACGGTGTTCCGGGACATATCAGGTTCCACAAAACATCAAGAACGGTATCGGATGCCATCCGATGTGAAGTCTTCGGTAAGCTTGGCAGATCGATCCCGCTGGGCTCCGCTGGGAGGAATCTGGTGCATATCTCTTAGAGTAGACTACGGTTTGTATAGATTCAGTATCGCCAACTATACGAGATACATCAGTAGGTATTTACAAGAGTATACATGTCGGCGCTAACTACGTCGAGGTTCAGCTTTAGCTCTACTCCTCTACCAACCTAGGTAGATTATATTAAAATATTACATATCACAAATCTCAAGAGTCTGTTTTGGGCACGCCTTTACAATATCGCCGAATTGAACCTATTACGATATGTGCATAAGAAATTACTCATCTACACGTCACAGGCTAACCCGGCGTCGACCAACGATAACACATAACATATTGAAATATATAAAGTATACTGCAATAAGAGGCCATCGTATTATTGAACCTGTTGTCATGTGAAGAGTAAATTAACAACCGCGTAACAACCGGAATAAACTCCTAGTGCTTGTTGTAGATCGAAATAGGACTATTTCGTCATGACGATAGCACACATTTTGGAATGGTGTTCTGCCTAAGGCGTTGCCAATACTTCACCTTGCATAAGATACTCACGATCTACTAGGCGCCTAGGCATGCTACCAAGACAGACCGGTAATGCTTCTTGGGAAGGATTTTCGATGATGTCGACCGGAGAGAAAGAAAGATTCGCGATGCCTAAATCCTTGTTTTTCGTCGTGTATTTTTGCAGCCATACTACATAGTATGTAACCGCGTCGCCTATCCCGACCCCAAATCTGGGCATCATCCACTATGACCTGCAGTCTGCGCTACTACGTAGCATAGTAGTACTATTGGAACTGAGGCGTCGTGGCCGGGCTAATGGCTAACCGAAATCGCTAGGTTATCTCCGTTTTCTATCTAGGTATCTATCAAAGGAATTTGTCTAGTTCGGCCTAGTCCTAGCGCTCCTGGCATCGCCTAGGTTAAGATACTTAGTTCTCTGGCATCACTTCCTCGGCTTACGTACTGGCAAGTTTGGTCGAGTTTGATGATTGGATAGGGAGCATTTGTGACGCGCGATAGCTTCGTTCTTGTTAGGCAATGTTAGGCGTTGATTACGGCTAGACTTATTTGTTATTTCACCGAGCCTATAGCAAGAATGCCTCGTGAAACTCGGTGAAGATTGGGATGTTGAGGTTCAGACGATGGTGGGTCTCCGTCTCGAGTACGAGACTACTGTTGCGGGTGCGCATGGAATATCCTCGTCACAGTACATCGGTGGCTATTCACGGGACTTCGATTTCTTCGTTCGGGTACGCTTAGTGGTCATAATACGCGGAAACAGTGTAGATACGTGGTGAACTAAGTTATTGGTTACAGAAAACTCACCGATATCGTCTCCTTTTTATATCCTATGCAGTAATTGCGAAGGGTAATTTCTGTATGTATGTGTCTAGTAAGTATTTACAAAGAAGAAGCGCTATCTAAATATAGGATGGCGTCCTAGTAAGAGCACGTCCTTGCGGTAATTGCAAGTTCAGGGGTTTTGTTCCCTCTTAAAAGATTATACGGGAAAATTCATTGTTGGGGGATAATAGAAACGCCCAGATGAAGCACGAAATCCGGTTAAAGAATTTGGGTAAGGGTTGTTATTGTTGTGATAGTCCTCGTCGGCGACCCCTATCTTTATCTGGACAAGTTTTCAGCAGCAACTAGAATCTCCCCACATGAAGCCTTGAATATGGAGTCAATTCTGTTCCCCAGAGGCTGAATATAGCCAAAACAATAGCATCTCCATAACTTCCATGCCCCATTACCCACCATGGGCTTGAGATTCGGAGCAAGCGGGATCTAGATGCAGAGCCTCAAATTGTTGCCGGGTCTGTATCCACTGAAGTCAGCATCCTATAACTACTAGATACTAACAACAGGATTCTCATTGTCTTCATCAAATTCCCTCATTCTAGAACTACGAAAAATACGACACCTAAATTCTTATCGATTTCTCTGCTTCGAACCTTTCAAGTACTTACTCGATAGTATAAGCCTCTCCTTCACGACAACGACGATTTAGACGACCGAATTGCCTCCTGACAATACCTATACCGTCGATACGCGTCCATAGAAAAAAAAACTTAGCTACAACAAACATAATATTTGTCCTATTCAAAGTGCAAAGATACTGAAACACTACATCAATAATATCGCTCCTCTAACTTGATGAGAAGGTTTTCAGCAAACAACAATAAAAACAAACCACGAAATATCCTAGGATATATACCTACTTCGAGCGTGTCTCCAAACCGACCCCTAATTAACCAAACCGAACTCCATTACCTAACATCAACTCAAACTCGACAGATCTATTGCCATAACTATTCCTAGAGTCGTACGATTCCAATGCTCGACCAACTTGCATCAGGTGCTTATACTGTTCGTATTGAATTAATAAATCAACATAAAACGATACAAACAATTCCAAGTGCCTGTACAAAGAACAAGATCAATACCCTCTTAGAGAACCATTGAAAATAACAACAAGCCTTGCTCGATATCCCTAATACAATACACTGCTTCGAGCACTGCTACCATGGAAATCTAACTATATACAATAGCTAATAGAAGAAACTCGACAACCCCAAGCCCCAACTAAACTCGGTCCAATGCCACCTAGAAGACAACTCTGAGCTACGAAGGAAATCTCAAGCAAACCATACCTAGTTCTGGGCCATACTATACTCTCCACTTTGCATTTTTCAAGAATAACATTCGATGGACAAGTTATCCCATCACTACCTATACTATGGGCCCCTAAACAAGACGGGAAGGTTTGCCTGCAACTCGGCATCAAACACTACCACACTATACCATTACCTATCCAGAGTTTGTCATTTGCCGAACATTTGCTTGTTACCGATTCTCTATGAGCAAACATTGACTTGCCCATAGTTTTCTTCTAAAATAGCGCCGTGTCTTCTCGCCAATGGTGTTTGGTCTTATTACCTGCCTTTGTCAGAGGTTTCGTCGCACTGGAGTCCATTCCGTAGGAGGTCTGCTGGTGGTAGATTATGGGGTAGTGTATGTCGTCGAAGGACGTTGTCATACTGAGATGATAGAGAAAGAAAGCATTGTACTCTTTCGCGTCAATGTTGTTGTTTTCCTACCTGCTAGGTCTGCACCACAATGGCCCTCCTACGAAGTCTCTTCTCCCTTGCGAGGTAGCGCACTTATTACCTTCAAAGTACTCTAGCCATCCTCATCTCATACACTAATTATATACCTAGGTAAGTACCTAGTCTACATTGCCTTTTGGATGTTGACGATGTCATCATCATCATTGCAGAGATGGTATATTGATTACGTGATCACATATTTATGCAACAATGCAGATATATGATGTTATAAAGTAGTGTAGTCAGCCTTAGTAAGATTATGTAATGAGTTTGAAAGTGGCGTAAATTGTGGCTGTTTCAATTACATAATTGATTACATAAGAATTTTCGATTAGTAAAGTCTTATCTAATCGGATTATTTTAGAAGATGCAGTAGTGATCTCGGATTAACCCAAAAATTCAATTGCGCCCACGATCATATTGATATCTAGCATAAACTCATTGGCGCATCAACGCCGAGGTTCCTATACGGTGCTGCTGAGGTAGTGCGTCAATGGCGATGGCTTCCTCGATTCGGCCTTCAATTGGCCGAATATTAAACCCCGCCGTGGGCCAGCATACCGCAAACCCATCCTCCTTCCTCGCCTTATTCTCGAGGGTTACAGCTCAAAGCTGCCCCTTCTCCACGACACCAGAGCTCAATGAGCGGCGGCCTCGTCGCGACAACAATCGATTACGTGGGTTGAGCAGTTTATATCGTTCCGGACCACGAGCCCGGATGAACATCGAGCCAAGCGAACTTCCCAAACCCTCGAATTACAAGAAGGTAATTGAGGTCGATCCAAACCATGGACTGTGGGATTTCTTTTTCAGCAAGGAGAAGCTTCTGCCGACACCCGAAGAGATCGAGGAATACGGACGCGCATGGACTGCTGAGGAGCTACGACATAAGAGCTGGGAGGACCTACATGCGCTCTGGTGGGTATGCGTGAAGGAGCAGAACCGCATTATTACGGCTGTGCGAATGTTCAAGACATTTAGGTTCAAAGATAAGACAAGTCTTTTACGTAGACTGGGAGAGGTAAGAAAACCACGCCTAGCATTGCTTGATATCTGACTAGCCATGCTAATATTTGTGCGATACATAGGTCAAGAATACCATGATGAGGATTAGGCACGTGCTGACGGAACGATTCTACCTATGGGAGGATGCGAGGGCCCTGGCTGTGTCGGATCCGGAGATCGATTTAACCAACATAAAGAACCCTTACACACCGAGCTCACATGTCGAGGAAGAATACAGTGAGGACCCATATGTAGAAGAAGACGCGGGGAAGGAGACAGCGACGGCGGAAGGAAAACAAGAAGGAGCAGAGAAGTCGGCCGCTGAAAAAGTCGAGCCGTCTACGATCCCGGCTGATGCTCCGGAGGCTCAGCAACCGTCGACGAAGATATAGCCGTTTGTACGTACGTATTGATACAAAATAGAAGCTCTGAGAAGTGAGCGTGTAAATATGTACATTAAGCCAATGACACGCATGATACCACCAGTTTACAGCTCGGAAATAGCAACAATTGGTTAGTTTGGCTGGTTGACTTATCGGTGCACTGTACAAATGAAGCTCAAGAGCAAAAACACCTCTGGTCTAATATCAAATGTATCACGATGCATGGTTCTTTGGTCTTCATCTAAAGAAGTCAATCATGTGACAGTCAATTGCCCCTCTTTTAGATAAAAAGCTCGAGCTCAAGCTACAAGAGATGGAAACAATCTAACTCTACCTGGGTAAGTATTTGAAGTATTTGTTGAGAGGAGATTAAGCTTATTTAATGAGTAATAGTGTATCCGTAGTCTATGATAGACCGAAAAGTACCTGGTAAAATACCTGGTAGATGATGATAATGAGATCGTAATGAGATGATATCAGAAGGCAGAAAGGGGAAAGGAGGGAGAGAAAAGGGAAAGAAAAGGGGGGGTACGTAGCCAAGCGCGGGGTCGACATTGATTGGCTTTAGCTCTATTTTGGGGGGGCACTTTGGGGCACTTTGGGGCATCAAGTAGCATTGGTAGTAATTGGTAGAGTAAATTGTACCAATGGTACGAAGTGGTACCGTTGAATTTCGAGCTTCAGAACCATAAACAGAAGCCAAAACCAAGTTGCTTTGTATCCACCTCAAACCACAAATCAACTTGGAACCCAAATCAACCTCTCTCACCGATACTTTATACTTTTTATTTTATCTTTTTTTTTATCGTTTACCGTTCTATGTTTCTACTAAACATCCTTCCTTGACGTTTGACGTTTGGCCTGGTGTCAACAAACAAATAAACAATTCATCCATCTATCCATCTCTGGTCATTCTCCATTTGCCATTTGCCATTCCGAAACTATTTGGACTAATTGCTTTTTTTAATACCTGCACACTTATTCTCTCCCCCCTCACTAAGGAATACCGAGAACCCGTAGCCGTAGTCCGCAATCCGCAGTCCGTCGCCCACCATGGATGAGATTGCTAAAGAGTACGATGTCATCGTTTTGGGCACCGGTGAGTTTCAATTTCGAGCCCCGCATTCTCAACTTCGTGTCTCTGGACCTTTGGTGGGGTTATGAGAGCTTTCGCGATAGAGGAGATACAGGATCTAACATTGGTATTTCTATAGGTCTGACCGAGTGTATTCTTTCTGGGTACGGATTACATCATATATAATACGCATGCAACATGCATCATATGCTGACAAAGTAAAAAAAAAGTGTCTTGAGTGTCAAAGGTAGAAAGGTGCTACATATCGATCGCAATGATCACTATGGAGGGTAAGTACTGACACTACATAAACATCCATATCATTTGATTGAATCATCAACTAACATCTATCATTATAGAGAGGCCGCATCGGTGAACCTCGAAACGGTACCTTACCCCTCCTCGCTATAGTGTCTATTAATCCGACAAAGCTAACCCATATACCCCACACGATAGCTATTCAAGAAGTATGGCAACTTCGCAGCAGGCGAGGAACCATGGAAGAAGTACGGCCGAGCCAACGATTGGAATATCGACCTCGTTCCTAAGCTTCTCATGTCCTCTGGAGAGCTGACCAACATCCTTGTCTCCACCGACGTCACCCGTTACCTCGAGTTCAAGCAGGTCGCCGGTAGCTTTGTCCAGCAAGGTGCCGGTACCAAAGCCGCCGTCGCCAAGGTTCCCTCTGATGCCGCCGAAGCTCTACGATCTCCTTTGATGGGTATCTTCGAAAAGCGACGGATGAAGACCTTCATAGAGTGGGTTGGTACCTTCGACTCTAGCGACCCGGCTACACACAAGGGTGAGTAATAGACAAACATAGAAATTATTGGGATGATAAAACAAACCCCTAACGATACTTGCGGTCAGGTCTTGACTTGAGCACATGCACGATGAAGGATGTTTATGACAAGTTCGGTCTTGAGGTCGGCACCCGGGACTTTGTTGGTCACGCCATGGCCCTTTACTTGAACGATAACTACCTCGATGAGGCTGGCAAGGCACCCGAGACCATCGAGCGTATTAGGATGTACGGTAACTCGGTGGCAAGGTACGGCAAGTCGCCTTACATCTACCCTCTATACGGACTCGGCGAGCTGCCCCAAGGTTTCGCACGTCTGTCTGCCATCTACGGTGGTACATACATGCTTAACACTTCCGTCGACGAGATCCTGTATGAGGGTAGCAAGGCAACCGGTATCAAGGCTACCATGACCGGCATCGAGCCCGAGATGAAGTTCGAGACCAAGGCCAAGCTGATCCTCGGTGACCCTTCATACTTCCCCCAGAAGGTTAAGGTTGTCGGTCACGTCCTGAAGGCAATCTGCGTCCTGAAGCACCCCTTAGCCGGCACTTCCGAGTGTGACTCCTGCCAGCTGATCATCCCCCAGTCCCAAGTCGGTCGCAAGAACGGTAAGTCCTGATTCGACAATATGGGTGGGAAATATTATAACTAAACGTTGCCCAGATATCTACATCGCCTGCGTCTCGTCGGCACACAACGTCTGCCCCAAGGGCTACTACATCGCCATCGTATCCACGATCGCTGAGACATCTGCCAACCACCATCTAGAGCTACAACCTGGTCTAGAACGCCTCGGCCAGATTGAGGAACAATTTATGGTAAGTCAACACTTTGTCCCACTTTTCCCTTTTACTATTCTACCCACCTTATACACCGATACTTACTATCCATCTAGGGCCCACCCATCCCTCTCTACGAGCCTCTCGAGGACGGAAAGAAGGACAACATCTTCATCTCCAAGAGCTACGACGCGACGTCGCACTTCGAGACGACCACCGACGACGTCAAGGACATCTACGCGCGCGCCGCCGGCGAGGAGTTGAAGGTCGAGGGTCTCCGGGAGGGCCTCCAGGTCACCGAGGAGTAAAGAGTAGATGTCGTGGCGGTTTTTTACCTTAGGTCAGGCGATGCGGGTTAGGGGGTTGGTAGTACAGTCAGTGTATCCAGAGTCAGTCAGAGTCAGAGTCAGTTTCAAGTAGCAGTGATCCAAACCGAGCAGAACAGAACAAGAACAGACTAAGTTAGTTGTCGTCGGAGAGATTCTTACATACATACACACACACATGCATGGGCATCGCAGAGGGCTGCCGCGTATTATCATATCGGATGAGATGAGTTGAGAACAGATGTTGATAAAAGTGATTAGGTAGTTGAGTAATTGTAGCTTGCTTTTTTTAATCACCTTGGAACTTAATTGTATGTAATACTTTTTTGAGGGAAGGAAGAGGAAGTATGGGAAGGGGAAGGGGAAGGGATGGTAAGGGTGACTGTCTACGAGCCTGCTTTTGTTATGTTGATTACTTCACTGTCTCTAGTATATAGATACCTATGCCCCTGTTCTTCTGTACTGAGTTGGTAGTGGTGCGTCTTTGTTTTGTGTGAACCTTATGTAGCGTGTATGTTGTAGGTTTGATGTGGAGATGTGGAAGTATAGGCTATACGTTTAGAGACGAGATATCTACTCTATATACTTCTCAATAGCGCAACTTCCAACAACGATTACATACATAGGTAGGCAAGTACCTAGGTAGGTAGGTATTCTTAAACTTCTGTTTAATGATTGAACTTACTACCTATATGTACATTGTAGGTAGGGCTTCAAGGCTTTATGTGGTGCGTACTCGAGTATCAACAGATGCGGTGCCCCTTTCCTTACCTATATATGGAAGTTGGTCTGAGACTAAAGATTTCTAGGTACGTGAGAGTCGACTTGAGTTTTTATGATGTCCTGGTGTAATTGTTGTATACTTCCACATATCCTACTTTCTAAGAGGGGCGACAAGAGTGAGCTCCTAAGGCAGTAATACATATTATGGAAGAAGTCTTTTGGACTGTACTTGGTACAGTCTACGGTGGATTTGCCGGGTGAAAATGGCAGAATGGTAATCAGAGGTGGAATATAGCAGGTGTTTTGGTGAATGAAGGCATATATATCCTTCTCTATACCCCTTAACTGGAATAAAGATTGAGAAAGAAGCCACATGTCCAACTAGGTAAAATCTCTTGAGACTATACGTAGCTGGACATGATAGTTGTAGGAGATGGTTTATCTTCCTAGGAGCTTCGAATACTACAATTAACACCCTCTACCCTTTGTCCTGAACCTAAAAGCATGGTCACCTTATCCAATAGATCGTCTCATCTTGAGAATGAGGTTGTTGGGTCATCAAGTTGTGTTTAGGATGGAAAACTACTTCGAGGGAAATTCACAATGGAGAGCTCAGATGAAAGTTGGTGGTACATTCTTATGAGCTTGGAGTTCCGAAGTCTTGGATATATTGAAGCAAGCAGTCCTGTAGGTAGTTGAAGACAGCACCGTTCATAGCATGGCAAGTGACGAGTCCCCCCAACAAGATGGTCAAGAGTCGTCCAGGCGGCACTTTATTGGACCATCTGATAAAGCCTTATATATTATAATAAGTGTGCGATTTTTCAAGCCGACCCAGCTAGGTACGAATGGGTATCCCCTGGTGACTAGAGGCCAGAACAAACCTCCACGAGAAATCCTCCATGGTGGATTGGCAATGGCCATAACTTGACACTAAAGATTTCCAATGAAGGTTTTTCATAGGTTCAGGATTCGATTCTGAGCTGAACTTTTTTTTTCATTCCATTTCTTTTTTTCATATCATTTTTGAGTTATATATTTTTTTATCGTACACTTGCAGACTCGTACTTCTTGCCCATTCCCATTTCTACTTTCAGTACATCCTAACTCTTACTATATTCATAATATCTCTACCATTACAACCATTATTCACACACATTTTAATGAAGGCCAACCCCTATTCCTTCCCAGTCACGTGATTCACGTCGACAGCGAGCTCCTGGATAGTTGGAATGCAATGAGCAAAACAATATATATTCCTTCGCACCTAGATTATGGAATGGGGGCCAGAAGGCGCTGAAAGAAGTATGTATTCCTATATCATCTACATGATTTTCCATATTGAACAAAATGCCATCACACCATGGGGCATTCCCTATGTCAAACCACTTTCTCCTGTCCACATTTCTGTCATTTGAAAATATTAGACGACGACTAACTTACTAGAAATTTGATGCGCTTACAACAAGATAGCCACCATGTACCTTGTTTTTCCCAAATACACATAAATGGTTAGTCCTCCAAGTTCCATAGGCCACTGCAGATGAGATAGTTATGGGATATACCCATATCAACCCCCTATGACTTAGGATGTTAGAACTTGGGATCGTCCTAGACCTCTGACATTACCTGGGTACTGTGAGCGCTTGTTAAACCATATTTAGACCGCTAAGCCCAGATCCGATAGATATATGTCGTGTGATAGAAAATGTGCTAACCTAGCGCACTTACAAGAATGGTGTAACATTACAGTGAGCATTTATTAAATTGACTATTCATTGAATTCACGTATTTGGGTAGATTATTGCGTGTGCTTTATTTTAAGGGATACATCCGTGAATAAAGCGGATAGGTTGATCTTGACGCTTCCTTGAGAATTACCCCTATATTTAGGCTTGATTGGAAGCATGAATAGGAGAACATAGTGTAATCTAAGGTACAGAATGCTCTAGAGGTTACTAATAAGCCTTAAATCTACAAAGGAGTGTCTGACACGAGTACCATGTTAATATATACACAGGTATAGGGGCACAGAATCATGATCAACTTACCTAGTAGGTAGAGAGTGTCGTGAACTAATTCTATTATTCATCAAGACATGTTCGTATCTAGGTAGGTATGGATTCCGTCAAGATTACACAGCAAAAATAGATAATTGAAATGGGCTAGCAGAGCAAAGATGATGTACCGTACAAAAGAGGTGTCGGTCCATAAACCACAGGGTATCTTGAGGACTGCTATGACCTAAACTTGACGGCAAAGTCACCATGGGGATGGAATCAAGAGCCTGATACTCTTTATGATTGACTACGGTACCTAGGTAGACAATCAAACCCATGAAAATACGTGTTTTTAGCTTTAGATAGAACTTCTACCGCGTCCCATTCAAATTCTAGCTCCCAGCCATGTCAGGGGCTGTCGAGGAGTACTGAAGAAAGGGATACAAAAATCTATTCGCGTCTAAGAATACTGCTGACAGCAGCAACCAATATCCGATAAATTGACATGTCTGACTTCATGAGCCGAAGACAGAGCCTATGATTCCTCATCCCCCTTTCGATGACTTTGACGTCTTGAGCGGGCTCTGGCGTGACACTCACTGAAACATCTACTGACGGATCCCTTTCGCCTAGAACTACATGATACCAAGCAGGAATGCTTCACCCATTCATGATCACAACAAACCACAAAACCACAAGGCACACACCTATCTACCTATTTACCTACCCACCCACCAGGAACGCCGTATAAGCGCACAACACCAAGTCTACACGAATAGCTCACAACGTAACCATCTCCAACTTACACAACGTCAGCTTATAACAGGGCGACCAATGAACCCCGGGATAACGAGAAATGGATCCCCCAAAGTTCCAATTCAAGAGCGCGCCTACCGTATGTTCCTAAACCCGAGGCTTATGCTAGCGCGACGTTCTTGAAATAGCCACAGCTACCCCCAAGCCAAGCCCAGCCTAGCCCGGGCTCAGCTGAACCGTCTTCGCACGCGACTGGATAGGTAGGTATAGAATTTTTCCACTTCCAGTCGCATTCTCGCACTTCGCGATTCGCAATCTCGCGGTTCGCAGACGCAAGAATACTACTCCCTCCCTCCGTCGCAGAGAAAAATAACGAAAAATAATAAAAGAAAACGCGTGGCACCGCTTGGCATAGCCGCCAGTAAGAGGCGCGAAATGAGGTGATACCTATATCTAGGTCTAATCTACCTACCAGACCCATCCGGTCCAACTTACCTACGCACTTACCTATTTACATGCCTCTTCCGTACAATCTCGCGAGATAACACGCGACCCCCGGACCCGACGAACGTGGTTAAACGCGCTGATCGACGCCGTAAGCCGGCTGACAATAGCTACGTATGGACGTCTGCAGAGTAAGTAAGTAAATAGATGACCAGACACGCAGTAAGATGCCACGAGGACGTACCATGTCGTCGTCGCGGAAAGATGACTAAGGTGAGCAGCAGCAAGGACGGCTCCTTGAGTAACAACTGCCGTGCGAGCGAGCTGAGGGCCTTGGGTTTTTCGAGCAGTCTTACGTTGGACGCACGTGGCGCGGAGAGAGGGACGAAGGCATAAACCGTATAGGGCTGACCACATACCTACAACACGCCCTATACTGCCTAGTGCGTGAATGGGTACTAGGCAGGTAGGTAAGCAGCTAAACCCCTAGCGCGACATGTTTCCGATCTTTTTTCCCCCCGTCATTTTCTTCTTTCCCTCCGTGCTCCCATGACTCGCGCGTATTTAGGAAGCGTAAGGTTCTTAGTATAGTATCAGACGGAGTGATATGTGCAACAGCGGGGTGTGTGTTTGTCGCGGGCGGGGCAGGCGGGCGGAGATAATGGTTCACTGCCCTGTGGCGACGACATGGTTCGGATCTAGGCAGCGAGATTGAAGTTATCGTGATTGGGTCGCGGATATAGAAAATGGTTTCTATAGTTAGACGGCCCCGGCTAGCCCTGTTAGACAATTAGTCGCTGTAGTAAGAAGGTCGCTAACAAGGGCCGGACTGAGTGCGTCCACATACACACATACATACAGTACATACCTAGTAGGTACGCTTAAGTATTATCCATGACAAGAAAAGTTCCGCCGTATCGTCGACCAAGAACGGGTGTTAGGTCAGCTACGAGCTAGTAGCCGACCGCGGTTCCGAAGAGGATCGGCCCTTGTTTTTCGAAACATGCAAGGTACAAGGTGAGTTTTGACAGGGACGATATGTACAAGAGCCCCATAACGGAACGGTAATGGGGAGTGAGCGCGGAATTACCTTATCTGTCGTGCCGTGAGTATGGTTATGATGTTATCGTGGAGAAAAGCGAGAGCGAGGTATCGTGAAAACGTAAGAGAGACGGGACTCTGCCACCCAACAGTCATAAAATCGTAGCGAAACGAGTACATTGCCCGACGTAAAATGGGTCTCCGTATTACCCGCACGGCACCTCATTAGATTCTGGACCAACACCGAGAATGTTCATCTCGGTACTCTTGGTACTGCATGTTAAAACGCGCGTTGTCCTTTTGATAACGGCGTCGTCCAACTACACTACTAGGTAGTTAGTTTCTTGCATACGGATATGAGGCACAGAGAGACTAGATGCTAGGTAGGTAGGTAGGTAGGTTAGGTACAGAATAGACAAGCAGCGGATAGAGCACAGCTAGGGTTAGGTAGCTCGGAAGCTACAAAACAAAACAAGCGCGCCACAG